CTTCTCTCAAAAAAAAAAAAAGCCGGGACTGGGCACAGTGGCTCACGTCTTGTATGAATCCAGCACTTTGGGAGGTCAGTTGTGGTGGATGACAAGTGTCAGGAGACTGGATCATCTGCTAACACGGGGAACTTGTCTCTACTTAAATCACAAAAATATGAGTCTCACTCTGTCGCCCAGGCTGGAGTGCAGTGGCGTGATCTCGGCTCACTGCAGCCTCCATCTCCCGGGTTCATGCCATTCTCTTGCCTCAGCCTCCCGAGTAGCTGGGACTACAGGCGCCCGCCACCACACCCGGCTGAGTTTTTGTGATCTGCCCGCCTCGGCCTCCCAAAGTGCTGGGATTATAGGCGTGAGCCACTATGTCTAGCCCCGGCTTTTTTTTTGAGAGGGAGTCTCACTCTGTCACCCAGGCTGGAGTGCAGTGGTGCGATCTTGGCTCACTGCTGGGATTATAGGCACATGCCACCACGCCCAGCTAATTTTTGTATTTTTAGTAGAGGCAGGGTTTCACCAGGCTGGGCAGGCTGGTCTCGAACTCCTGACCTCAGGCTATCTGCCTGGGTCGGCCTCCCAAAGTGCTGGGATTATGGGTGTGAGCCACTGCGCCCGGCCAGTCCGGCTTTTAAGGAGCTGATGGGCCATTGAGGGCCAAACTCTTGGTGGTTTGGTCATCAAAGTCTATTTTTGGTTTTGGTTTTTCATTTTTATGTAGAGGGACCCACTCCCTCCCACCCACTGTGCATCCAGCCTCTGCACGCACCGGGGCTCCCTGCATGGCCCCTGCATGGGAACATATTTTTGTCATCAGTGCTGACCTCTGGGTGATCAAGGAAGCAGAGACTCCTGGGGCCTTCCTGTCGTGTGCAGTGGAGCTGAGCTGCTAACATGAGAAGGGAGGAAAAGTGGAGATACCCAGTTTTGGTTCTAGGGACCGTCCCCTTTTTTCCCTCTTGGTCAAGTGATTGGTAGAAGCAAGAGTTGCTTGTTGGAGAGGCCGTGAGTAGCACATGCTTGGGAATTAGGAGCAGGGCAAATGGCCTTGAAAATGGGATGTACCTTCTTCCCACTCAGCCCCTCATCATGAACCCAGTGCTCCTGGCAGTGCAACTAACCATGAAATTCCCTTTAAGTCCAGTGATGAGGCAGAAGCAGGCAGGTCACCCCGGGGCTGGAGAGCCGCAGACAGTCTGAGTGCACAGGCTGGAGGGAGGGCGGAGGAGGGTGGAGAGCACTGGCCCCATGGACTATCTGGGGAATGGTTAGAGAAGGGGTCTGGAGGAGGCAGCGTGATAGGTGGGGGTTCAGTGCCTTGGGGAGCACTGACTGGTCCACATTTAGCTGAATCAGGAAGGTCTGTCTACCACAGCTTCCCGCTGCTCTGACAGATTGGGGTTGATGGCTGGGGTTAAGAGCACTTCAGGGTAGCATCATCTTTGGCAAAGCCCAGACGGGGACTCTTTTTTTTTTTTTTCTTGAGACGGGTTCGCTCTTGTGGCCCAGGCTGGAGTGCAGTGGCGCATTCTCGGCCACTGCAAGCTCCCGCCTCCGGTCACGCATTCTCCTGCTCCAGCCTCCCCAGTAGCTGGGACTACAAGGCGCCCCACCGCGTTGGGCGTCAGCCAGCCTAGTTTATTTGTATTTTATAAGAAACGGGTATTCACGTGTCGACTCCAGGATGTCTTGATCTCCTGACCTCGTGATCCCCCCGTCTCGGCTCCCAAAGTGCTGGATTCAGCTTGAAGCCATGGCGGGCCGCCCCGGCATTTTTTTTTTGAGACGGAGACGCTCATGAAAGGCTGTTGCACAGGCTGGAGTGCAGTAGGCGCGATCTCGGCTCACTGCAAGCTCCGCTCCAAGTTCAACATTCCCTAAGGCCGTCAGCCCAACACAAGTAAGCTGGACTACAGGCGCCAGCTCACCAAGGCCAGAATGTGCAGGCAATCTTGAACTCGCACGGCTAATTTTTTGGTATTTTTAGTAAGACGGGGTTCCACCTGTGTAGGCCCCAGGATGGTCTCGATCTTCCTAACCTCGTGATCCGCCCCGCTTGGCTCCAAATGCTGATTTACGGCCTGAGCCACTGTGCTCCCGGCTGAGAGGACTCCTTTAACCTCCTTACTTCCCAGTGCGTGATGTTGCATTCCCAACTCCGCAGTGACAGGATGTG